AGGTTTGTGCAGCTGGGCCATTCAGCTTCCATTGGGGTTAAGATAACCRGAGTGGGAGGGTAAGAGCTACACACTCCCTCATGGGACAGCTCAGGGAGAACAAACCTGGAGGAGGGCCCTGGAGAAGGTTTCGTTTGGCAGGARAGGGGCAGCTTTCCACACTGGGGCAGGGCTGAGCAAGTCCATCCCGGACTGCTGCAAGCCAAGGAAGAGAGCCCAGTGTGTTAATGAGGAAGGGTAAGTCACAGGGGGGCCCGCTGGCAGAACCACCCCCCTCGCCTCCACAGAGGGACATTTCACATATAAAACAGGCACCAGATACAATTGTTGTTCTGACCTCCACAGGAGCTGCAAATAGAATAAGTCAAGTGGATCTGATTATAGCTTCCCAATCTATATAAAGAGAAGGCATTTTTTTTTCCTGAATAACACGCTTATATTTAGGATCCTAAAACTGTATTTGGAAAGCTAAGGAACTGACCTGATTTTCCAAAGTGTTGAGCACCCAGTGAATGAGTGGAACCATTTTAAGAGACTTCTGTGGGAACTGCTAGATTGGGGAGCTTTGGAGGAGGAGAGGGAAAGCAAAGYTGAAGAGCTCTTCCTAACTGCAGGCTTGCAAAACTAAAGTCAAGGCTCACGCTTTTGGAATCCATCAGCCAGGACTAACATCTCAGTTCTCCCTTTAAATATTATTCTGTCAAAGTTAAAGAGCATGTGAATTTTTATAAAGCTTTAAGGCTCCATTGGTATCATTAAATAAGGGTATTTTAAACAGTGTAAACAGACCCACTTCATTGCCATGCTAGTTAGAAACCTGGATAAAATAAATGACTCTCTGCACAGCCACAACATATAGCCAGCAAGAAACCACCCTTGGGGACACGGATGTTTCATAAAAAGCAACGCTCCAACATTTCAGGCCGCGGGAAAAGAACAATCCTAGTGATTAGGTGAATTCTGGAGGGTTCTCTTTCCCCCGTGGCCTTACCTCAGCAGATCCTCTTCTTCCTGCCTTTCTTTTTCCAGGCCAGCTCTGTCACTCTGCTTCCACTCTCAGGAGGGGCACTGGTAGAAAGGGAGTCTCTCTCCCTTTTTCAGTCTTCCTGTTATTTCCACAGGCCCACAAGGCTCTGTTTGGAAAAAAAGACTGTATAAACCTATGGCTTTACTATTTCCACATGAGAACCCCATAGCTCTTGCTACATAATATTTGCAAAGGGGAACGTTTTTTACAGTCTTTCTTCAAGAGTTCTGAAGCTCAGAAAAGAGATATTTCAATTGCATTATTTTACAAAGTTCTGGCATTAATTACAATGCAGGTAAGAGTCAGGTGCATCCTACCAGGAAAATCTAAATCTAGTCCTCTCCACAAGCCTTTCAGGGAAGCATTGGGGGCTGCACATCTCAGACCTCCTCATAAACGGTCTATACACTGAAACCACATTTTAGAAAGCAAACACTCCAAATCAGGCACCTTTCTGCAAAGGTAATTTTTGCAGCGTGCTCTTCATAATACGAAATACACGTATTAACAAGGCACCACCATGAATAGTTATGAAACAAAGGTCATTAACAAAGACAATATGAGTTTTGCTGCTCTCCATGCAGCAGTGCAAGCACCAGGAGCAAAGGAGCTGTCAGGCAATGACCAGCAGCTCTCACTGGCCCCGGTTTAGCCACTCTGTCCTCTCTGGAGCTGAAAAGAAAAAGCCAACTAAATGGCCCTTCATTTCAACACCAACTAACAGAAACAAAGAAATCAACCACATTTTTCCCACAGCAAAGGCTGCTTTTGAAGTCTTACCACCTGCTCCCGAATGACTTATTGACAGAGGCCGGCCACTACACCCAAGTAGCCAGTTTTCCACATTCTGGGATTATTTGGGATGTTTTGGTGTCAATTCAGGCTCTCGGCCCCTCCAGGAGCTTAGGCCAAAGCTTTCTCATCACCAGCCAAGTCCCCATTGTACAATGAGCATTTAGAGTAATAACAAAATTGCCAAACCTGAGCCTATATTAGATTTACTGCCCATAAAACATGCACAAAATAGATGCCTTTCAAAAATAATTTTTTAATTAGAAATCTTTCGCTTTGGCCAACATTTTCTCCTTAAAATAGCACAAGTCGAAACACAGTCCTATGGAATACAGAAAATAGTGCAGTAGTACAGCCCGGATATTTAAGGAACAGTTAGTCTCTAAGATCAGCTTTGCAGCGAGCAGGGAGAGCTAGAACAAAACCGAGAGGCTGATGAACCCAGCAAGACAAGAGCAGTCCAGGTCTTTCAGGCCCACGGCTCCTGGGCCTTCAATGTACAGCCTGGCTGCTTCCTAGGCCGAGCTTGACCTCGGCACAGAAATAGGGTTGATGTGATTTATAATCACAGAATCATTATGGTTGGAAAGGACCTTCAAGATCAGCAGTGACCCCATCACTACCTGCCTGCGAAAGCAAAGCTGCCCCCCAACCACAGCTAGAACAGGCTGCAGAGCTTAACGTTCTCTAGTCTAGCCCTGGGAAAGGGCAATTTATGGTGTTCAAAGTGACTCACTAAGGCACAGGGTTTTCGACTGCAAAAATCTACAAATTAAAGGACAGTTCCTCTCGCAGGCAAAACTGCCAGAGCACTAAGGCCTACATGACTGAAGTGACAGTCCTCCTTCCTCACACTGGCRCTGCAGAACTTGCGGAATCAGGATCGGAGATTTCCTCCTAGACGTGCTTCAAAGCCAGGAGAGAGGAACTGAGGAATCCGCAGGCGAGTCGGGTTTTCTGGCAGGGCACGCGTGCTCAGCCAGCCCTTCAGGGTGCAGGAGCGACTGGCAAAGCCGGCGGAGAATCAGCTGACAACAAGACATTAGTCAGGGGACGGCACAGATGTTACAGCCACCTACGCCTCCTTCCAAAATTAACTCCTCTATTAGCAAACATTTGACAGTCTCAGCTCTGGCTTGGAAAACACGAGCAACAGTCTGCTTGTGAAYGCTTATCGGGAAAACGTTACCTATTAGTTTGGGTAATTTCATCTTAAAAGCTACATGTATAGTGTATTAAGCTGAGCCAAGAGGTAGGGGAGAAAAGGAGGTGCTACTTAGCTGTACACCCAGTACTGCTATTGACTTTCTCCCTGACTAYAACCATTTATTACAGGCTGTGATGTATCCCGGACAGTCCAAGGGCACATTGGTGGTGAGAGAGTGGTTCCTGATGGAGCTGTGAAGGCAGCTCTCCCGCCACGGTCAGCACCCTGTACAGTCCCAGGGCCCCCTATAGAAGAGGCCCAGCCTCCTCTGGGACACTCTCGGCCCTCACGGGATGCAAACGCAGCCGGCAGCGCTGCAGGGAAGCGGGCCATTTCCATCCCTATTCTATCAGTCATGCCTAGGAAATGGGCACCCTGCAAACTGACAGAGACCTAAACGTGCCTGTGCTGCCCTTCACCCCTCACAGTTTAACAGCTGAGCAAAAACAACTGTAGGCTGCAAAGGAAAGAGCTTCCAAGGGAGCTTCCAAACATCTTCCAAGGGAGGTATATTTAAGGCACCTGAACCAAAGTGGTTTGAAGAACAGAGGACCCGCATGTGCCATTACATGAACCAAATACAGGGGGTCAAAACACACATGAAAGGAAAGGGTGGAACACAAACCTCCAGAAAAATATCGGTTCTGACAGCTGATGTCTTTAGATAACCCTCCAAATATAGACACCAAGGTCTGGCCTACTGCCCAAAGAACTCTTCAAGCTCCATGTATCACTTGAAAACAAAAATTTAAAATCAAATATCATAAATACAAGACAAGGAAGGAAATAACTGAGATACTTGTTAATTAAGCCCTCGYACTGCAGAAGTCTCCCTGGAGCTAATTGCCAAAGCAGTAATTGAGTGGAGAGAAAACCACTCAGTACCTGCTGCCCAGGATCATTTCTTACTGAAAACAAAAACATACTTTCAAAAAAATGTACTTTCCACATCAAGTCACTTCCAGATCCTAGAAAACTCAAGTCATAGCTGGAGAAATCCTTTATCTCATTTCCTTAAAGAAGCTGGTGGGAAATTACGGCAAYGTGGTAAACAAATAGGAGGGGAGATAGTTCTGCAATGACCTGGAACCTGTTTTCCAGGCACAGATTCAATAACAGAAGAATCAAAGTGTAAATATCAAAAAGCAACAAACCTGCAGTCCTTCAGACTTCCAGAGAAACAGAGATCAGGTCTTGCTGAAATGGCTCTCAGTCCCCAAGTCACTTGGGCACATATGTTATTTCTACATTTTATACATACACACACTAGGAACACACCTGCATCTCATCTGCTCCATCCCACCACCTCCCATCAGCCATGTAGCATATTTGCTGTTCATCTATAAAGATATTCTGCATTTAGTCCACAAGCAATTTATTTTCTCCACAAAGAAATACCTGTTCCACTATTTTTTTTTTTCCTACCTTTTCTTCTTTTCTACTGTTTCTCCCTCCTTCCTATCMTTCCAGCTACTACCAGAAGGAAAAGACTTTTAAAGCTGAGGACCAAGTCAGACCATATCTAGCACAGGTGATTTGGATTGGTTCTAGGGGCAAATTTAGCAGGTGGTCTAAATCACCACACCTGGAAATGCTCCTCTCTTCTTGAGGCTTGGTTCTGGATATTAGGTGTGCAGCTGAGAAGGGTTTAGCTTCTGACTCTGCCAACCTCTGAAGGGAGGCCCGCGTGTTTTAAATTAAAAAATAAGTAAGTGCAGTGCTCTCATGAACAGTCCCAAGCATGGCAAAGCTCCAGACCTGGTACAAGATGGCAATTAATGGCTACTTGGTTGATAATTACCCACTTGCATTAAGTTTCCCAATAAATATTTTATTTCAGTGAAAAAATAATTCACACTTAATTATGCTAAATGCTTAATGAGTACGGATCTCCTTTGGGCTCTCTGACCAAACCTGCACTTTGGGAGTCCAAACGTGGCACAGAACGTGTAGCAAGGTGTGGAAAAAGGCTGCAGGGGAAGAGAGTGGAGCGCAAAGGGAAACAAATTTGTCCTTTCATTTTTTGTCTTTTTGAAGCAAATCTCAGTTCTAATCTTAGCAGTTGTCTTATGTTTTGACCATCTCCAGGTCATCCTCTCCCACTCATTCTCTCAATTCTTTATTTTGACGGAAATTTTTGAGGGTGGGGAGTAGATCCACATGCAGCACTTGGATGGTTCCTAGCAAAACAAGGCTCCAAACTAGAAGATACAGGGAGATTTTCCCTTGGCACAGAATGAGCCAGGCAAAGAAGAAATTCAAAGCTTCTTTGGTGAGGACCAACCAAACTTGTCAGTGTCTTTGGGCACCCCAGGGACAGACTGGGGCCTTCCACTTCTCCAGTGAGACATTTCCCAACAGAACAGAGGCATTTCTCGGTTTCTGCAGCAAAACTGGTTTGAAGACCCACCTGAACCAGCAGGGCATTTCATTCTAAATGACAGCAAGCTGTTTCCTCTGAAGGATCTTGATTAGCCCCTACTGCCCCAAGGAGCAGCAAACAAGTAAGACRTTGTCAGACCAAGGGCTCCTGCCACCCTCTGAATGCACATGGATCTTCACAGTTCTCCTGAAAAAAAAAAAAGAGAGAGAAAAAAGGTTCATCCAAAGCACCCCATAACAAACAGCTATGTCTGAGATCTGTTTGTTTCCCCCCACCGACACACTTAGATGTGAACTCTCCAGTTAAAGGCGTGTGCAATTTTGTTAAATCTGTGGTTTGGATACTTGCAATTAAAGTCTGAGGATATACTTTTTTCATCAGAGAAAAATTATCTTAATAGCCATAATCAACACAATCAAATATAATCAATCTGTCAAGTTAATCATAATTTAGAATCACTTACAATAATTTTGTACCTTGCAAGTTCCCATCTATATGGAAAAAAATATGCAACTGCAAAGGCTTCTACCTCGATTTCAGTCACTGCCGTGTTATGTATTTTGATTTTTGCTCCTTCTGTATCCTCATTTTGCCTTCTCCCACTGTTTAAACTTGCAGAGTTTTATTCCTGGCCTTTTTCTGCTCTCTCTGCAGTCTCCTGTGCTCTGTGCATATCTATTCCTTTAGGCAGATGATTATGATAATCAGCACAGATTTTCCAAGAATCTTAAGCAGCACAAACCTCAGCATAAATCAGCCCAGCAAACCCACCAGGCATTTTGGAAAATACTCCCCACACCTGTGTGCCAGCACTCCCCACCTACCCAGTATTACCTCTCCGGTAACCTTTCCCTGCATTTGCTGACTTTTCCACCCCCATTTTATTCCAAATACCTGATTTTCCCTGCCTGCTCCCGCTCTGAACGTGCCCCACGATGGAGACCAGCTCATCTCTCCTACCCTCCACCTCCTCAGTCTCCCACTAAAGTCTCTTCTCTGTTGTCACTTCCACTGTACCCTTCTCTTCTTTATTCTTATCCCTTTCTCCTCCTCCAACACACACACAAAAAAATCATCAGGAGCCCTCGCCTGCTGCTGCAGTCCTTCCATTTCTGCCCTGCCCCTGCTCTTGGTTCACGCTGGCAGCTCTCAGCACTGTGTCACCTTTACATCCAGAGCCCCAAACCTTCCCTCTGCTCCTCAAACCCTCCCAGGAGCCCCTCCTGAGCTTATCTCCACAAATCCCACCTGTTTTGCATTTAATAATGCTGCCATCTCTTTGGAAGGAGCCAAGTTCCCATGAAATCCAAGCACAGATTTTTTCCAAAAGACTCATTACATTTCGGCAAATAGACTCCTTTGAGCTATACATGTGAATAATAGTACTACAATTGCAGCTTTGACCTCCTGTGTTGGGAATGCTTCTTAGGGGCAAAGTATTCCCAAAAGGTGCAATTTCTTATTGCCTCCTATTGGAAGGGCACTGGGAGTCTGGCACTTCCCAGACTCCCAAAGTTTCCATGGACAGAAGCTTTTTCTAAGCAGAAGGGCAGAATTCTTAGCTTAAGTCAGCAGCTTGCAAGAACTCACTGACATCAGGACAGTCTCGAGGTGGTTACTGTTCACAAAATCTACATTCATGTGTCTTTCATAAACTATATTGACAGTTTGCGATTATCTTTTCAACAGCTTCCTGACATAGCTTGTAAAATCGTGATTTAACTAGGAGCTAAGGATTATCTGCAGGCAATAATGGGGGGAGAAAGTGCAATATGGAGGATAGGTTTCCCCCTTCTTGAAAGCATTAGCTGGCCTTCAAGAAACAAGTAAATAGCTCAGAATTCATGAGCATTTCTTGGTCCTCAACAGTGGTCTTTAAAGATAAAAAGGCACTTGTGCTGGTTTAAATTATTATGACTGTACTGGAGAAGGAGCCAAGTTGATTAGTAACATATGGAAAGCAACTATTCTTCTCTTGTCYTTACTGCAGTCTACACATAATCAACACAAATTCCACTCATTGTCTGAAGAAATCACAACTTCTGTTCCACACTGTTTGACAGAGACGCATGGCAGGGCAGAGCTTCACTCCRAGCCATGGGCACAACAGAAAGGACAGGAAGAAGGCAAGAGGCCACAAACCCGTCCTGTAAGAACAGGGTCGCTGGTCTCAAGGGACCAGTTGCCCCATTGGGGCAGTACCTGCTGGCTCTGCTCCTCACTGGCATGACTTATTTCACAGAAACAAGTGCTACCCTGGCAGAGAACCCTAGGGAGCTGGTAGCTCTCTCCGCTGAACTCCTAGGAGCGGCAGCGTGGGCAGTTTCACGGTGATGCCTGTTATTCATTATTGTAAGAGCCTGATTTTCTGGTCTTTCCACAGGCAAAAACCCCTCAGATGCTTGCAAACACTAACACGTATTGATCATTATTGATTCTCCCCTATGGTGAATGGGAAGGAAGCCACACTCCAGCGAGTATCGTAGAGACTGGATACAAAAGCTGATGACAGCAGTTTCGCAGCCCTTGGCCACAGCTCCCCTTTTGTTAGAAGGAGTGTTTGAGTTCTTAGCCCTGGTGCCAAGAGCAGACCCGGGCTTTTCCCTTCAACTGGTTTTAATTTGCCGGAACACGTGTCCTAAAAGCTCAAAGCACTGAAGGCTAGAAAGGTCTGCCCTGTACTTACTGATGGGAAGGTGGGTATCAGGAGAGTGTCACGAAAGCTTCAGATGGGAGCAGCTTCCCAGAACATAATTCACCTTCAGCTCCGGGTAGTGCAGCCTTTCCCCTGCTGTTGCCCACTCCTCCCTCCAGCACCAACAGCACTGCCGGGACACGAACCTGTCCCTCTGTCAATAAAACACAGAAGAATTYGTGACGCTGGCAAGAGCATTAGCTTCAGGGTTTATTATTGCCGACAGCCTCTCCTCCTTCCCGTGGAGGACGGATGCAATTATAAATCCAGCAAGACCTAGTGAGAGGTGTGTTACACCTAGAGCCCCCCTCTACCTGTGACATCCAGGTGAGGATGAGGATGATTCTGAACTCTGAGAACGAAACCTGCCAGGAGTGCAGTGGAAATCCAGCAATGCTAGTTCAGACTGTTGATATTCCTGTAGCACGCAACACATCTTCTAATATTTAAATATTACATATTGACTTTCCCATTCATTGGCCATTGTCACCTAGACTGCGCAAAGGAGCGCCGGGCCTCTGATTAGGAAGGTGCTCAGACACTGTCAGCACCAGCTTTCCCTCCCGTGCTTGAATCCTTCAGCAGCTTGACTGGGTGTCGAAAGCCAGGTGAAATCAGAGCACAACCAGACCTTGTCCTAAGCAGCAGGCTGAGCTTTTGCTGCAGTGCTCTGCCAAAGCAAAGGCAGGTCTGAGCTGCAGGAAAGCGGTGCAGCCCTTAACAGGAGCAGGGGGCTGCCACTATGGACCAGAGAGAGYCCCTAGGGAACATAAGGAAGGAAAGAGAATAACACATACGGGGTGGGATAYTCTGATAGATCCACTGATCGTGTGCCATGGGTTCCTCTAAGCATAGGAGAAGAGTTTAAGTCCAAAATGTGTTGAGTAGATAAGCAATTTCTCAGTTCTTCTGTCCTTATCAATCTGAGAAAGCATTTAATGCCGAGATGGAATATCAGAGGTAGCAAGACAGAGCAGAGATAAACTTGAACTTAATTAGAAAATATGCTTCATGTTATTCATCCACTCTCTAGTAACAGCTGTTTTGAGAGATATCTATAGGGATGATCCCCCTGCAATACTGGCTTTTGAAAGCTCTCCAAATCCTGTAAAATGCATTAATCTGCAACATTTATATGAATAGCGCAGACAAATGAATGCAATTACTTTCTCCTCTTTATTTGATTCATTATCTGCATGTGATGTGGATAGCCTAAGCCAAATATCTCACTGATGTTTCTATGGTTCGCTCAAGAATTTTAAGCTATTTATTCTATTTTTGTTCTCCAGCTAATGGGGAAGTCAGGGAAAGGAAACAATCTTACCACAAAAGAAAAACACAGCTGGTTGCYTTCGGCGGCAACCCAGGAACATCAGCACTGGCCGTCTTTGCAATTGTAGTTGCTGGGCTGAAAAAGAGGAAAACCCAGGGAGTGGGAAGGAAGATGGAGGGAAGGTCTTAAAAGTAATGCAGATTCTGCTGCCACGGTCGATCTCTGCGAAAACCTGAGCAGAAGGGCAAATTACTGCGCCTTGTAATTAAGATGGATGTGCGGAAAGGCCCCGGCGGGCTGCAGCAGGGAGCTGGGCCACATCCCTCATGGGTGGATCTCCATGGATGGAGCCCCCATCCCCTGGCAGCATCAGTTAGGAGAGGGGGGAAAGGGAGACGGAATTTTATAAGCTCCTGCCTGCATCTCCTTGGGCAAAGCCAACGTGCTTGAGGCAGCTGCCACGACAGCTACAAGGGCTGGCGCGGCAGAGACCCCAGCAAATCCATGACCTGGAGCCATGGCCCGGCACAGGCTTCCCGGCCTGGCTGCTGGCTTTGACTCCAGCAGATCTTGATCCAACGACCTCGGCCTGGGCCCAGGTCGCAGGGCCTGGGCCCCATCGCACTCGGGTTCCCTCATGGAAACCCTGGCTCCGGGAGCTTGCACCCTCGATCCCTCGGCTATTTCTGGGGCTGGCGCCAGCCGTGTGAGCTCGGACCAAGCCACAAGTTTCTGAGTGACTCATCCCTAACATGGGGCSGATGTAAGCGGGCCTGGTCCTGCTGCCAAGGGCAAGAGTACCCCCTGGTGTCCCGGGCCCAGCCTCAGGCCTGAGGCGGGCTCTCCTTTCAGCAGATAGTCTTCGCTCCTGCCAGCAGAGCCGCCCTGGCCGCCTCAGGACGGCTTCCAGGGCTGGACGACGCAGCCGCGCTGCGCTCGGGGCAAGCCCCGTCACCCAGGGGTGCTCGAGGACRAGGCACGAGCAGACGGACACGTGGTTGAGCTCTTGCGCGGTGCCCAAATGAACCTGCCTCCATACCCAGGGAGGGAAAGCGCAGCGTAACGCAAGGGGCTGCTGTAACCCCACAACCACCCTCACAATAAAAAATGTTTATAAAAATAGCATAGGTTGCTAACTGATTTAACCCCAAACATTAAGTTCCTTGTCCTTGAGGGCCAGGAGACSAGCAGGTCTGCAGCAACCTCCCGCTGCAGGATCATGGTGCATCCTTTTACTTCTCTGGGCTTTTCTTTCTCTTTGAAGCCCCCCTTTCCAGATGAGGTCTTCATGTCAGGGTTGGCCACCACATGCGCACAGTAAAGAGCAGACCTTATTTTGCCAGTAGCAAAGGAAACCTCGTGTTGSTTTTAGCCACAGTCATAACATACTTTTGCTTCGTTTCCTCTCTGGAATAAAAAACTGGAAGGAAATTTAATTTAAATCCCCAGAGGTGCATGTGGTGTGCAGCACCCAGCAGAACGTATGCAGTCAGTAACAAGCCTGAGCAGCGTGGCCAGGAGAGTACTCACAGCCAAGTCACTATCCATCCATCGAGACTTTATGTTCTAGCATCCATCTCTCCATCCATCAAGACTTTATGTTCTAGCAGATGATGTAAATTTAATGATGAAAAATAAAAGCTTAAAATGCTAGGTAGTAGCAGCAGCTTAGGGTGCAAAAAAAGTCACGAAAATCTGTCACCTAA